AATATTCGTGTAATCATTCCCCAGTCCATTGAGGCTTCTTCTTCTCAGCAAAAGCGGTCATGCCTGATCATTGATACTGTTAGTAGTTGATCCTGGGGAAATCATACGAAGTCATCTTACCAATCTTCTGGTCTCTTGTGGCAAACAGAGACTGGAACACCCTCCTCTCAAACTTGACTCCCTCACTTAATCCGTTTTCCATGCTCTGGTTAACTACTTCCTTTGCTGCCTTTACTGCTAGTCTCCCGTAGCTTGCAATAGTCTCCGCGGTGTCCAAGGCACCCTCCACACACGCCTCTGGGGTTTCAAACACCCTCGCGGCAAGGCCCCAACGTTCAGCCTCCTCTGCAGAGAAGTTCTTTCCTGTAAGAATAATTTCCATAGCTTTCGCCTTCCCAATTGCCCATGTAAGCCTCTGAGAACCACCGGCACCGGGGATGACGCCGAGCTTGATCTCCGGCTGTCCAAATGTGGCCTTGGGACCACAATAAAGGATATCTGCCATCATGGCGAGCTCACAGCCTCCACCGAGAGCGTATCCATTGACAGCAGCAATAATGGGAATGCTGATCTGGGTGAGCTCGGACCAATTCTTGATGAAGTCGTTTCCGAAAGCACTGGCAAAATTGAGATCTTTCATCTCTTTAATATCAGCACCAGCAGCAAAGGCCTTTTCACTACCAGTGATAACAACGGCGCCGGCTTCTTTTGAAGCCTCGAAGGCTCTGAGAGCAGCATTGAGCTCGGTCATGAGAGGAGTAGAGAGGGCATTCAAGGCCTTTGGGCGGTTGAGTGTGACTGGGAATTGCTTAGTAACAGCTCATTGATTATTAGGATGGGATTATTTACTCTGGCCAACTCCTGGCCTGGGAGTAGAGACTAGGATATGTTCATAACTAGCTTCTGCTGGACTAGACATTTGACGAACGGTCACAATACGAGGAATGGTAAATCGAAGAGTAGAAACAGGCCTGAGGGAGCGAGCGAACATGATGGTGCTAAGGTATAAAAAGTGGGGATTGATAGTAGAAAAGGAAAGGTATCAATTTCGGGGTACCACTCGTAAATGTGAGGAGGTGGGAGTGGTGCATATACATTTTCATGGCATCGGCGTCGGTACAAATACTAGTGACGTTACTGCAAGTGAACTCCCGTGACTCGGCGGACGCTGCGGGGAACCGTAGAAAGCCGAGGGAGGAAAGGATAGAGCTTATTAACTACATGTACCGCAGTGCCTTCTCTAGAGCAAGACCCTGGTGTTTGGTTGCTGGGCAATATTGATTGCGTCACAAAGCTATTGCGGGACGGGAATGATACATTATGACAATGAACACAATACCCTTGTTTTCCTGGAACAGGGCTTTGCAGCTTTTATGTCTCTGAAGACGTTGCCTCCCACAAGACACAGGACAAGACCTGTTCCACCTAAAATTGCTTTCCCGACATTCTTTACCTACAGCCTCGTCGCTCTTTTCCTTCCTTCACAAAGAACATCAAACGGAAAACAATACAGAATTCATATCATTATGGACTCGCAACCCCCTGACAGTGCGTTCCCGGCTGCCTTCAGTGCCCATACATCACGTATCACGAGGGTCTGTATCCCCTGAAGCTCATCCTTTTCGGTCAATGATGCTAACGTGGCGACATCGCGACGTAGGCGTACCAAACATATCTAGACAAAGCAACTCCGTTTGTAACCTACAGATGGGCTGGAACGATCTTTTTACTACTGGTCTTTATGGCGAGAATTTTGGTGGCTCAGGGGTGGTATATTGGTAATCCAACCTTTCCCTCGCCTTCTCCATTTGTCGCATCTCATATTCAATTCTATAAACTCCCACCGCTGCAATAACTCGCTAGGAATTTTGCTAATATGCTAAATAGTTTGCTACTCACTCGGGATCTACCTCCTGAATCTCTTTCTCGCTTTCCTAACCCCTAAATTCGACCCTTCACTCGAACAAGATGAAGAGCTCGAGTCTGGTGGGCCAAGCGCTCTCCCGACTAAACAAGACGAGGAGTTCAGGCCCTTCATTCGCCGTCTCCCAGAGTTCAAATTTTGGCATTCGGCGACTAGAGCTATTGCGATCGGATTCTTTTGCACCTGGTTTAGCGTGTTTGACATCCCAGTGTTTTGGCCTGTATTGGTCATCTACTGGTTTGTTCTGTTTGCGCTCACAAGTAAGTTCTGATACCTGGGAATCACGGTTGTTTATTGAGGGTAGTGGCTGATACCTTGTAGTGAGGAGGCAAATCCAGCACATGATCAAGTACCGCTACATTCCTTTCAGTCTTGGAAAGACTCGGTACTCTAGATCTTAAGAGACGCACGTATTCACACGACGAAACGGCATTTAGGGTTGTAATTTGTATGTTTTAGGAATGGTAGGGAATGGCGGGAAAAGGTGTTTGGAAAAGGCGTTTGGCTACTAGGCCACACTTTGTTCGAAAGCCATTATCAACCTATTAGTATCCTTGAGGGACAATAATGGGAAGTGGCGTATATCTAAATATGCTTATAATGTTTACTGGGATCGTGGGAGCTTATCTGTCCCAGTCTATTGTTTTATTTCTATATTCATGCATGTCTTGAGAAACAAACTGTCTGAACTTATTGATATTAGCTATGAACATGATAGAGGGCCTTATCTTATTTATCTTCATTGCCGTTCCGTTTGGAATTGGCTTTTCTTGGTGGGAATGTAATTGAAATGGGGATGGGTATGGGATAGGATGGAAACATGACTCTCGGATCTTGCGGGGCTGTATCTGGTGACAAAATATCGTGGATGAGCGAAACTCAGCAAATACGTAGTATCATATGTGCAATAAACCGGATTAGACCTTAACGGCTTCCATCATAGAGTAGGTACTCTACACATCACAGCGAGAAAGATCGCCCCCATACTTAATTGTCGATCGATCTGGTAAATGTCTTAGTCAAACACTACAGTAATAAGATCTACAACGTTTTCCATTAGATCCATGCCGGTATGAATTAGTAGGCTATGGTAACCCAATCCAATGAGATGCCCACACTGTTCCCTTAGATCTCGGTCATGAATTTATTTTTAGCCAAACGGAGTTCCTGTCGGACGAAGATGCAGGTTTCCTCCCCCGGCTGCTAAAGATCGAGGTGCAGTAAGTTCGGGCTTCAAGTTCGGTTTTTCGAACCTGCATTGGCTGCATGGCATTTACTTACCAGTAAGTAGGGCAAGTCGTTAGAGCCAGTGATTGCCAGTATGGTATGAGTCTGTTTCGCAGTCTACGGGTAAGCATGTAAGATGGCTTCGGTAGTTAACCGGCGTCGCGTCGGGGATCATTTGATATCGGCCTCCATCTTTAAAGAAATACCACGCAAGCATGACGATAATATAAAGCCCTTTGCTGACTGCGATTCATAGTTATAATATGTAGATGCCGTTAGAAAGCACAACGGGCCGAATGCCTCCCACTTCGGATAAGCTTCAATGATCGTGTGCGCGCGTGTGTGTGTGTATGGACATTTTTGTACCCCGAGATTCGAATTGTGCAGACATTTATTTCCGACGGATGGTTCCTTTAAGATCTGGGAAGTCACCAAGTATCGGCAGGTACCCGTTTCCCCTCACTAGCCTTATTACCCCCCACAAAGATTACTCCGATTGGATGCTGGAGCTTCCTTGTAACCTGTCAGTAAAATCAGACTTTGGAGGTACAATACATGTCGTACGTATATGATCGTATTGGCTTATTCAGTCAAGCAGGGTGTGTCCGTTAATAGTAGCATTTCAACTACTCTACATATCAGGACGAAGAAAGCTGGTAAAAATAGGACTAGATCTATAGTAGAGAGTGGACCTATAGTACATATATGACATGCGGCGATCTGGCACTTCTGGCATTTTATGGCGGGGTCGAGTTTCCCGGCACTCGTGCAGGCAGATTAAAGGTCAATGAGATTCCCAAATTACCATTCATTTGCGCAAAACCCATTTGAGCTTTCTTTTCTTCTTTTTCCCTTTCCAGAAGATTGCACAATATGAAGGCTCGACATGTCAACAATAGTACCCGTAACTTGTAAAGCTGATTAGGGATCGCCGGGATAGGACCCCATGGTCTTTTGCTCTGCCCCTTGGCTGTAAACTGCCTATTAATGTCGATACCTTGGACGGATGAACAACACAGCGAAACATCATGATTATCGCCATCAACGTCACGAATCAGCAATCCTTGCTTGCAAGAGACTCCTAGTCCAATGTATTTGAAGGACTTTATGTACCTACATCCTCTAGGAAAGTTATGGAGAGTAGGGTACATGTAGGTACAACACATGTGCTTATGATACGTGCATAGCTATTTTTTTTATCAAACAGAGGGGAGACGTGTATCTATGATAAGCATAGACAGGAATGCAAGAATAAAGAAAGAAACTCAATGAGCGACCGTTGTGCTTACCTACATGTAGCCCTCGTGAGCTTGTCTTGTATGCACAGCCGATTCCAAAGTGGGATCAGAAGCTTCCAATCCCCCATATTCCTTCTCCGCCCGGCAGGCAATCAGCAATCAGCAATCAGCAATCAGCAGCAGTATCCCGAGACTGGAAGTGAAGAAAACAAATAGATCACCACTTCCATTCCCTTACGAGTTGTGGCTTGACAATCGATCACTTATCACTCTACAGTTGAAGTTGCGTCGACTGCGGCGTTAAAAAGGCCCTCGATCGCTCCTCTCCTGAAATAACCACCACTACATACATTGACCCCGGCACCCTGGTCCGCTTGACACCTCCATGATAACATCGTTCCTCATCTTACTTGCTTGCATCCTTTTGCTTTTACTCTTCTCTTATTCTTTCTCTCTTCCTTTCCTTTCCTCTCCTCTCTCCCCTTCTCTTCTCCAACCAACATCAGTTATCTGCTCTGCAATCTCCTATAACCTCATTCAGGTTATTTACCCTCGACCTTCTACCGGCTCCTCTTTCCTTAGATCCAGCTCCCGATTAAACAACATTTAAAATGCCACTCTGCGGCTCAAACAAGGTTGCGAGTTCTATTCCTTCGCTTCTCACTTTCATTCGCCCGTTCTGTTCTACGTAACAGGCGGGTTCAGGTCATAATTTGCTAACAGTAGACCCTTTTCGCGTATATAGACGACCCAGCGGAAGATTGTACTATTAGGTATGCGGAAAAACCCTTTCTTGTCTTAAGGATTAGACACTGACAACGATATAGGAGATGGTGCCTGTGGAAAGACCTCATTACTGAACGTATTTACAAGAGGGTGCGTTATTCTCTATGCAAAGGGATATGGGGCGACTCGTGGAATCGGGAACTAAGTGTTAATGATATGGACGAACATTAGATACTTCCCGCAAGTCTACGAACCCACAGTTTTCGAGAACTATGTTCACGGTAATTATATATACACGCCCAAGGTTCAAGGGACCAGCTTCGCTAATATTCTCACGTGTAGATATCTATGTTGACAATACACATATCGAGCTTTCACTCTGGGACACGGCCGGTCAGGAGGAATTCGACAGACTGCGATCACTCTCATATAGCGACACCCACACCATTATGCTCTGCTTCAGCGTAGACTCCCGCGACTCACTCGAGAACGTCGAATCGAAATGGGTCGGCGAAATTGCGGACCAATGCCAGGGTGTCAAGCTGGTACTGGTTGCGTTAAAGTGTGATTTGAGAGAGGCTGGGGATGGCGATGGCCCGGAGAAGAATGTTCCCGGAGGATTCATTCAATACCCGGAGGGACTTGCTGTTGCTGAGAGGATAAAGGCATTGCGTTACCTTGGTAGGGATTTCCGTGGGGCAGGAAATTATTGTTTTTCAAGGGCAGTGTTTGTTCAGAGCGCCAGGCTAACTCGTTTCGGTGATTAGAATGCTCCGCCAAAATGAATCGTGGGGTCAATGAAGCGTTCACGGAGGCCGCCAGAGTTGCATTGAGCGCAAACGCAAAGGGCAGCAAAGATTCACGGGCATCGGGATGTGTTATACAGTAAATAATCAACATTTAGTATCGACACGAAAATCACCCTAGTAAATCGAAAGGAATTGGGCACAATTTTCTTTCGAGGCCGGAATTGGAAATAGCGGATCGATGGAGTTCAGGACGAGCGATGAGGGCTATGGCAGCTTCATCTAAGGGTGGTTTTATCGTTACAGTTTTGGTCTACTTTTTGGTCGGTTTTGTTCATTATTAACTTTGCTAGCGCTTATTTGTTTGCTTGCGCTGCTATTTTTCCGACTTGTTTTTGGTTTGGTGAAATCTTGGTGTTCTGTTCTTTTCGGAGCGTTCGATGATACTATGTACAGTATTAGTATTAGTTTATTTTATTTTCTCTTTTGTCAGTGCTATTGTTTTGTTCGGGGAGGGAAGGAAGCCCAACATTCAGTTTATTCGTGCTAGTTTTCTGTGTTTCCGAATAATGGGTAGCACTATTGTCGATGTTTTGTATCTACAGTACAATACAGTACGCAAAAGTATGAATTGGCCAAAATATTGCGGTTATACACAATATCTTGAAATATCAGACTAGTAGCATCCAGTTCTGAGAAATTCAGTACTGTACCGTAGGGGTTCTATTTTAGTGACCTCATTGTTGTACGTATTGAAATTTATTCCGCCTGTCTCTTCCATCCTTCTCATCATAACGCTAGTACCACAACCATCTACACTCATTCACGTCCCCACAAAGATTCAAACCACGATCTGTCAACCATTTCAGCTCCAGTTATATCACTCACTGGTCTCTTTTTCTTTTCTTTTTTTCTTCAAACCTTGGGACGGATTGCTCACTGACATCTTGCCTATTTAGAGAATGTATTTTCTACCTAGTGTTGAATACTTCATCCCAGCATTTGCGTTGATAGGCATGCTATGTAACCTTCTCTGCCTGATCGCAAGTAAGTATTATGTACCAGCTATCTTTCATCACTCATCCAAAGTTTAATGGTTCTTAGCATTCTTTCTCGTCTGCTTGATGATCCGGAGAATCCTCAGATACTTCGGACTAATGATTGATTTTGAAGCGCTAAGGGATTAGGGGATTACGGGCATAGAGGAGGAGTAGGAGGAGGAAGGAGGGGGAGGAGGAGCCACAGGCTTTCTAAGGGGTTATTAAGGTCTTTCGATTTGAATTCTGAGAGTAGCTACATACAGGGTGTATCTCACTTAGACTATCGACCTTACGAATGCTATCTTGATAATTGATTTTTTTTTTTGTGCTACTGCTTGATGATGAAAACGATAGCATACGAGCGAGACGTTTAGTACCTAATTAAGGTGAGTATAGTAGGTATCGGATGAACCTGCATTAAGAAGCGTGCCATACATGAGGGGCTCACGTGGCAGTCACATACATAGGGGTAGTATGCACGGGGGTGTCTCGGAGACATGCCATAATTTAAAGTAGCGATAGGTTTGAAAGAACATACATACATACATAACATTGGGATCTTCAAATCAATAATGAAGATGGCTGAACAAGCCTATTCGACAACAGAGTAACAACGGCTTATCAACGCAGTGGGTGTGTCAGTGATCACCAGGGCAAATGATGCTCGTTCTGTTGGGGGTTGATAATTAGGTGGACATCCAATCGATCCCGAGCTGCCTAGGTACGTCCTTTTCTAAACACTAGGAACTACATAAAATGTTTCTCCGTGCCGTAAGACAAGCTTGGACTCAGGGGTAGGCAGCCAAGATACCGAGTGATAAACCATGACGTGTTCCTCGTTGTGATGCTTGGATGCCTAGGGCCTTGATGCCTATATAAACCTCGCGAAAAAAAAAAAATGAGAGAAAATATTCGCATGTATTTATGTAGTTGTATGTATTTAGATTGTAACTACGTAGAAGAAATAAATTTCGGTGCGAAGTGCAATATATACATATGCAGGTACCTGTCTGCGCCCCACATAAAAGCTCTGCGGAGGGAAGGGACCTCTGAGACATAGGGCTGAACAGTTACTGACTCCTAAATAAACTTTTGTAGAACTGATCTTATGTCTATGACATACGTGCGCGCAGCATTGTTCACAGTATAGCCATGCGAACAGGAGCGTTACTTGCCAGGGTGGTGTTTAACTTATGTGTAAAGGCACCTAACGCTTACAGGGGCTGAATGTCAATTTCACGAGATTATAAGGCAAAGTAGGGACCATATTCTGGTCAGTGCAAAGCCATCATGAAGAACGTGAAGTGTAGATCGCTGGACGAGTACGAATGAATGAGCTCATTATCCTGCTACCTAATCTAGCTACTGCGCACAAAGAGTCCTTCCTTCATTCCTTCTTTCCTTCCATGGGCGCAGCTCTGCTAGATCTGCCTGCCTAGGCATAACTGTATTCTAATAACGAACATGAACTATATATGTGTGACAGTGAATTGATGATCGACGGACCTGCCCATCTCCTAATTTCAATAGTATTGTAGAAGAAAGTGCGCAGGCGGTAAACATGTGTTCCATCTTCTGCTCGCCTGGAGGATGATAATCTCCTGGATACAGCTTACGCGCCGCCACTTAGACCCGCGCCAGCCGGCCAGTACCCCTTTAACAGATGCATAAATCTCTGTATTGTAGGCCCTGGTAAGTACAGTTGCCTAGCTTGTTGCGTCCACAGACATACTGTGGGTGGGGTTCCAATTAGCTCCCTCAAGATAGAGATAGCTTGAGGAAATCACTCTTGTAATTCCCAGGAGAATTCCATATCGAAATTCCAGCAAATCGTAAAGCTTCAATACCGGCTTGTAGTGTTGAATTAACGGGAGATTTGATAAGTTGCCTGGGAGATATGTTTAGTTAGTAGTATATGTCTGGCAACGGTGTACCTACTTACTGGTTAGCCATAGATTCTCCGTGATTAAGCTTGAACGGGTTGGCAGTTCTATTCACTTCTCCCCCTTTCTCACCTCCACATTTTGTTGAGTGTTACAGTCTGTTGCCTGGAAGGCGTGCAATTAACACAATCATGCCAAACAAAGTAATATTCAACAAGGCCCAAAGTGCGCCTTCACGGACTGAGTGTCTTCCTGTTTCGAAAGACTAGTGAGTTGATGTCGCTTGATGAGTCAATCAATGAACGATTACTATGTATATATGTATAATAATCCTTCTTGTGCACCTGCTGCATTCAGCGATTTTCCAGAAAGCCTTGGAGAAGTTCCTTCACCGGAGATTTCTCTGGTGTAACTGCTGCCTTGCATGTTTGACCAGGTTCCTGGGGCTGGGACGATGTGAATCTAGTCCAACGTCGTGCATCCGTCCATCGGCTACTTCCGAAGCCCAGCCCCCCTGGCTTCACATTCAGTCTATGTAGTTCCAGGTTAGATCTGTAGAGTACCTACATGTATCTCTGGTTTAAGGAAAAATTGCTTACAGTTATTCGAGGACTCATTATATCAAATAACGCACCAAGTCGTCAATCAGTTATGGTCTCGACTCCGGACCCTTTCTGTGATGTGCGAAGTACATCAAACGTCCCATTTTAATTTGCAGAGGCTTATTTACATCATATGTTGGACGATACCAATGCTGCGGGGATATGGAAGGCCGGGTACATTGTTACAGGAACTCAGATCAAGGGTAGGCCAGACGTTACAGTACCGCTAACATGACATGATACATGATGGCCACGAGAACATCAGGAAGTTTAATATAACGCTGCAGCACAACACCTGCTGTAACAATTCTACTGTCCACTCACTGCACATGTATCATTTACCTGTTGCGTTACACGCATACGCGTATGTTTACGTTCGATATGAATAAGCATTAATTATGAGTGTATCTTCCGTACCTTGTAATGATTTGCTGTTCGATGCTTGACCGGTATCGTAGAGAGAGAAAGCAGCGTATCATTATCGGTGGGTTGGTTACGCAAACAGCTGCAGCGTATTGGTGAAGTGAAAATAATAGTTCCGAATCCAGCTCAAATATATGGGATGGATTTGATGGGTTACTGCCATATTACCACATATTGATACTGTTTAAGTGCGGGATTGCTATTAAACTTTGTCTAGAAAATGTTTCAACCCAGCATTTGCCATGAGTTGAATGCTGCAGTGGGTGTAGTGGCCTATCTTTGCCTCTATTATTCTGGGTGGGAGTATCACCAACGACTTTGACGGTTCTTATACACCATACATTATAGACACAAAATGTGAGGGGTCCTTCCTTCTCTGTGGATTGAATCCAGTCTTTATGGATCGATCACTTGATAGCAGGTATCGAACTGAGCATCATAGTAAAGTAGATGGTTGTGCCCATGGCCAATTGTAAAGAATGGGTTAAAGATGCTTTTAATTTTTATCTGTAACAAAAGAAAACATATGACGACAGTCCAGTAATAACAAAGGAAAATAGGCGACAGCCCAGTAATACTAGTAACATATGACCTCAAATGCTACTGTCACAATCCACCCTACAATCACTCCTAGCATAACCTTCCCAAAACAATCTGTTACAAGCCAGAAAAATAACCACTCTAAACTCTCAAATGCATAATCATGACCTTATGTCTTCTACAGAGAAGAAAATAGATGCGTATCATATCAACCTCCCCAATTTCTCCTAGTGTGCAAAGTGGTCTCAACCAAAAGTGTCTATCGCAAGGCATAGGATGAAGTGGTGATGATGGTGGAGGGAAAGTACTGCATGTAGGTATCGCTATATTTATGCGTACTGATATCGCAAGGGTTGTCTGATTCGATGAGGCGAGCGGATGGTTTGACTTGTCTATTATTGAGGGAGTGGTCATAAGATGCCATCGGTGGTAACAAAGGCATCCCGCACAAAGTGCCCCATAGGTATAGGAATCAAGTCTTCCCGCAATGTTCGACGGCTTCGGGGAGTACCACGAGAGCATTCTTGTCTTGATGGGTTTGGTGACTTTGCTTGCCAGAATGACGGCTATTGTGGGCTCTACCGCACTCGATGCAAGCAACGTGAAGCTCAGGGTTGTGTGGGCCGAAACCACAAGTTCCACAGTACCAATTGGGCATGATGATAGTCGAAAAGTTGTAAAGGTGTAGAAAAATAGACTGTTGCGGATGAAGATCGGAGAAATCGATATAAAACTCTATAGAGACTTAGAGTTGTGAAGTGGGAAGAGCCGGTATAAGAACTTGATCTCGAGAGACTGCTTGCTATAAGTAATTGAATGAAGACACTGTGATATTGTGCTGGATGAGGAGTGATTGAAACCGGGAGGAGATGCCTCTATATAAAAAAAAACACACATGGTGTGATTAAGGTATGGCTGGGGACTTGGTTTCCCTAAAGCAAGTCTATACACTGCCCTGTATGTTACGATACCAAATATCATGCTCCAAACACCATTTCTAGCCTATCATTCATTCATCAAATCTCCGACCCGGCTCTTACGAGTATGGTTCGTAGGGCAAATCTTGAGTGATAGCTAGGCAGCGAACATGGCCCCTTGAAGTTTTGCAAGAGAATGACTGACAGACCCATGGAGGCACTGCAAAAGAAAAAACCACGATAAGTGAGCAAACTTTTTTTCCCGTCATTGCCGAGAATGGTTTCCAAAAACATGTGTGCTTGTAGTTCGTAAATTTTAGCTAGTAGCCACTGAAAGGCACTACAGCGTTAGGAATCACACAAAAGTTTGTTGCAGGCCTAGAGTTAACAGCCCTATCTTTGTGCGAAGTGATATATTGATCGCTATGATGTACATGCACAGCATAGGGTGGTTGATGCTGCTAGCAGATGGCTATGGATGCAGTATGATATTGTAGTTTGGTTTAAGAAAATGTCACGCTTCTAGTTTCCGGTAATTAGATGTAGTTAGATGTGAGCCAGGGATCTTCTTTTTTTTTTTTGTTTCGCGGACTCATGATGTCTCTGTTCGACAGGACCTACGAACCCTATTAGGTAGTGCTTTGCCTCGCGTGAAAGCGTGTAGGTAGAAATCCTAAGAATAAGGTCCACTGTGCGAATTCGCGATCAGTCAGTGCATGTAGTTAGGCCTGCAGGCACAGTTTCAGAAGAAGGAGCTGTCCAAGTTACAGTGAGATGTAACGCAGCTATCTCACCAGCCTCTTGAGCTTCTCTCACTTCTAGGCACTCTACTAGTGTCAGTTTAATTGAAACAAACAGATAGCCAATCCTCAAGAGAAGAGGAAGAAGCGGGTCCAGGACTCTAGGTAGCCAGGGGGGTGAGATTTCAGCCGCAGGTAACCGGGGGGGGGGGTGAGTGTACATACCTACATGTATCTACCTAGAGTCTTGACCAGATACAAAGTGAGATCCAAGGACAGGAGCGAAACTTGGCTGTGGGGAGCGTACTCGCCTAGTGAAGGAAAAACGTAGATTAACCGAACAACTAGGACTTTACAGCAGTGGCTGAGCTGTGGAGTCAATAACTGAATTATTATTTTTTTTCCTGCGAATTTCTGACCAGCCGCGAGACTTGGAGCCTCAAGCCGGTGAATGACCCTGTAGCCTGTAGGTAGCTGGGGTTTTCGGAGGTAGTCCCATAAACAATATCATAACCGACATATTGTGGTGACCTGAGTAAAGGTCTATCGTGGCTAGGAGTCGTTCTAATAAAATTGCCCAAGGCATTTCGTCGCTGATTTTCCACAAGGCACAAAACGAAACTTGCTTAAGGACCCTGGCTGGATGTTAAGCTGCCGCGAGAGGAATGTTTGTGGCCGCACGGGATGTCCCGGCGGGTTGTTGAGCCTCAGTCGATAAGCGCAACCAACCCAAAACACTCCACATTAGCTCCGGCATCGATATGGGGGGAAACAACTGAGGATACCAGAGATGTACTGTTATATACATACGAAAGGGAAGGAGAGGTCTGTAAGTGTCATTTGCCACCATTTGTTTACATATAGTGACCTGCTGAAAGCCCGCGTTCATTTTAGCTGGCATTTGCGCAATTGATATTTACTTTGCCGCCAAATGTACACCCGGTCCGCGCCTAAGCTTCCACGCTCCTTTGAATTTTAATTTCTCTAAATACTGCATTAAAAGCATTTTGTTGGATTTGCAATTTGTGGCGTTATGATAGGCATTCGAGATCCAATGGCAAGTCAATCAAACAACTGCAGTAGAACTACATGTAATTTGATAAAAACATCACAATCGTCTAATTATAAGCCGGTTCCTACTTTTATCTGCATATCTATATGTATACTCTCATATTATTTCGCTTTCAGTGAAAATCATGATATCTCACTCGAGGAGATCCTTGCTAGAAAAGGGTTGCCTACTAACTAGCTGGGCGCGTTTAACATTTAGTCCGGGCGTTTATATCCGCCTAGCAATGAACAACCGCCTGGAAGCGATAACGCGGGTATTAGCAAAGAGATCACGAATTAGCCTTCATGAGTGCATGTATGTACTACACCTCTATGAACTTTTAGCCGCTCCTGGAGATATGTCATATATCGGCGCATATAGCTGGAGAGCGAAGGACTGAGATCTAGAGTATCAGTTTATGAATCGGTTGTTACATGTGATGGAATATTAAAGGCAGTATTGATCAATTGATCAATTGAAGTTGTAATCGAAAACAATCTCGGACTGACAGCTTTGTTTGCTGGATCCGGAGAAATTCAAGTTGGATATCGATATCGCCAATTACTGGGCCATGGGGGCCGGGGGGATGTAGTGATGGTGTTTTAACTTCTAAATTATTTACTGTGGCCAGCCATGACCCGTATCCCGGACTTGGTTTCTCACTAACATATCAATACCTAAATAAACTTCTTAACTATTGGATCGTGAAGATGTAGTCTTACGAACTGAATCCTGTCATTACACTACATTTCTTGGAGTAATGGAAGAAAGGCCTAAGCGTACTATTCAATCGAATCACAATCCCTAAGTTATAAGTCTTCCTTCGACCGGATGCTGGTACGGTGTGTGATCATGACCTTTGACCTCATTAATTGGACAACAGCTAATTTGACAGATTTAGAATTCGCACGCAGCTAGAAACAACTGTTCTGTATGTACAATACTGTAGGTACATGCAGCACTAGATTTTTTAAGCCATAATTTGGTTAATATCGACTAGGTATTAGGAAAACACTACTGTGCATTTCAAATCTGCGTAAACATATGTATTCATGAGAGATTGACTCATGATCTTTGAGAGAAAGGACCCTGCAAATATTGCATGGTCAACACCAGGCGGCCTAGGTTTAACTCACAATGCAGCACAAGAAATAACCCCCGCCATGAAATCTTATCAGAGGTGGTAAAGCGTGGGCCCATATTACATGTATCTAGATTGTCACACCTAAGTGTGCTATAGGTACTGAAGTTACAGGGGGGGATTCACAGCGTCATACATGTATTGTTGAGTGTCACACCTGCGCCATCTTAATTATGCATAAGCGTGTTTCTTCGGCGTAGATATATAAAACGAATGAATCACAATTTGTGTTTATGATCAGCAGAGAAATCCTCAAAAAAATCCCAAGGCGTAATTATGTATTATGACTCGCAGAAAACGTCGAGTGATTTTTTGTGAGCGATGCAACGGTTGCGGCTCAGCGTTCATCGTCAGCGCGCATCCGAGCCCAATTTCGCATCTTGAAGAAAAACGCCCCACCACCGTTAGAACAACCCTCGACAGGAGACCCCCCACCTCCACGATGTCCACGCCCGAATTCCCCGAAATTGCTACCCCAGGGCAACCGCTAGCACCGGTAGCATCCTACACTCTAGGCACCGGCGTCCACATATTCAATGACCAGATTTGCGCGTCAGTTGTTGGACAACCTTCGCTCTCTGCTCCCACAACAAAGAGTGAGTCAAAACAGATACTTTCGGTCCTACGGCCGAGCCAGTCTGGGAGTAGCGGGAAGCAAGAGGATGTAGCTTTGACGAACCTGCTGCCACAGGTGGGGAACAATGTACTGGCAAGAGTTACCAGAATCAACCCAAGACAGGCGACAGTGGCTATCTTTGTGGTGGGAGATACGGTTTGCAACGATGAGTTCCAGGGAATCATCAGGTTTGGAAAACCTAGAATAAGAAGAGGTTGGGCCTGTAACTAATTGCTTTTGGGGTGGGCAGACAGCAGGATGTTAGGGCGACGGAGAAGGACAAGGTTAAGATATTTTCGAGCTTTAGGCCTGGAGATATCGTGAGGGCCCAAGTTGTACGTATTCCCTAATAAAATTTCCCAAAAACATACACTGATTGTATCTCCTAGATATCTCTTGGTGACCAGTCAAACTACTACCTCTCGACAGCCAGCAACAGTCTAGGGGTCGTAGTCGCTCACTCTGGTCGAGTCCCTGGGTGTCTTAGCAATTTTTTGTTGTTTACTAACTGCGTTATAGACTCTGGCGACCCATTACATCCTCTGAATTGGCGCCAGATGGCTTCATCACGGACAGGCGCGGTGGAAGAGAGAAAAGTGGCCAAGCCAATATAAGGAAAGAGAAAAGAGTATTGAATATTTGGACTTTTGGGCTGTAAGATATTTTTATGTTGTAGGAAACGAACAAAGACTGGATCTATGGAAAGGCATCCGGTTGGGGACATGATAGTCCCCATAGCTAGGATAATCGTAATATCTCCCACCATGGATATGACCGATGCTTAGGGCTTCGATTGAAGCGAAAATGAATAACATTATATCCAATCCTAGGGGGATAACCCGCTTAATACCGTAAGATATAATAACCATATTATAGCGGAAGAATTCAATAGCCCTCAAGAATATGGATAATTACAGACTAATGACGTAGCTTTAGATCCCAAACCTCACTTCCAAACCCAAAATACCGAAGGTTGTAAGTTCATGGAACGACCAGAAAACTAAGGGCAAACCACGGAGAAAGCTATCTAAGAGTGGAAGTGACACCGCATAGGGCCGGTAAGGACTAACCTCCAGGAGTACCCAAGCACCGCCGTAGTTGGCAATAACTACCAATAGATTTCCGAGAATCTTCTGCTTTCTAAACCGAAGGCCTCGCGATCGGGTTATATTATACCGATATCAACCGCTCAATAAGTAGATATTTGAAATAACCTGCTCGAACATCGCGTATGATATGAAAATCGAATTGACCTCTTTTGGTAAACTGGAATTGATTCACCACTTATCACTCTATAATGAATAAGCTGGTTTTGTACTATGATTTACTCGATAATGTAGTGATCAGCGCACCTCTCGCCATAAGGGTATTTTGCGGCGATTAAGAATTGACTATAGTTATAGCTGTTCGAATCTACTAAGTTAATTATTGGTATTTCAAGCTTCTGGTACATGAGTCCTTGCTTGGCAGAGGACAGGAAAGCGTATTGTATTCAGGCAAGCAATCGATCCACAATGCTCCAGAGCTATCTACATGTACCTGTGGAGTGGTATTATGTCGGTGCGATCCTAAAAAACACCCAAGTTTATTGTCCACACACATTACAGATTAAGCCCTACATGTAGCACTATAGTGTATGTGCCCAGAATGAAAATAAATTTGATACCTTACCTTCTAAACGTGCTTAGGAAGATAGGAAATATGTAAAATTGTAGCCCATTGAATGAATACCTTGTATATGTATATGTGAATGCCCCTCCCAAATAGAAACAGAAACAGAAACAGAGAAAGAAGGGATAAAAACAAGCCAATAAAAACATTCCTAGTACAATAAAATTGAAAAGACTTTAGAGCCCCCCCAAAAAGTGAAAGAAAAAAAAAACATACCGCCATATTTGTCGCCACGAAAATAAGAGAGCGGGCAAGTGCCAAGAATGTATATAAATAAAAAAAAAGGAAGGAAAAAGGAAAAAGACAACCCTAGGCATAACAAAAACCCTTCTTTTGTTCGTAAGTCCCGTTTTTTTCATGAACACATGCCAAAATCCTTTGTGCAAGACCCCTCCCCTACACCGCCGCCATATACAATAAGCCGAAAATAAGAAGCAAACACTGAACTATGCCTTCCTTTTCCCCGAATCAATCGGGTTCTGTCTCACTGACCACTCTAGAACTGTCTCGTAACAGAGTACAAACTGTCTCAAACTTTGTACCATCGACAATCTTTGATCTCTAAGATCCGCAACAGCCTTAGAGATCAAGTCCTCGTTGTCCTTCAATAACCAATCTCCATTCTTCTCCTCAGAATCGCTGAGACCCAATCTTCCCATCCTTCCGTGACCTTCCCCATCAGAACAAGAATCCCCCCCATCACGTAATAGTCGCTTTTGTTTTAGGCGTTGGCTCTGTAACATGCTTATAACTGAATCTATTGCGCAGAAGGCACCTGTCCGCCCACAACCGGCACTGCAATGCACAAGGACAGGTCTCCGTGACGGCGAAGAAGATGAATCGGTGGTTCCGCTGGATCTGACTACAGCATCGGTATGTTCAATTAGCCCTAGGATGTGAGCCGGGTGTGCTGGGGCTCCGAAATCCGGCCAAGAAGAATACTGGAGTTGAGTTATCTCACGCATCGGCGAGAATGGATGTGACATGTGCTCGAGCGTGAACTTTCTTACGATGACGAAAGGAATATTCGAATCAAGAGGCGGGGGCCCATTTGCATGGCTCTCAGTCGAGCGTCTTTTCGGACTAGCCTTCAAATATGAAGGGTCAAGCGAAACACGGACTTCCGATAACGATGCCAGTTTCAAAGGCCCATATTTTTTGGATTCCCAATATCTATGACTCTTAACTTGTCCCCCTTCCTCTTCAGCAGTCAACATGACAATAACTCGAACATCCTGCTCCCAGACCATGCTCCAGAAATCCTATATTCTATTAGAATGGCGCCAAAAAGCAAATTAATTAGAGTCTTTGGACTTACCCTGAAAGTAGCAGGTAAGGGAGCTTGAGATGCAATATAACGCTTCGAGCTGTTTTTTGTTGAAACATGACTAGCGTTGACATAATCACATTCCTGATCGGGGTAATCCTGCAACTTTACTCGGGCATGATCGTACGGCCAGATGTTGTTATACCGATTCTTGTTTCCCTTCTCCACACCAGCAAGAACATGTGGCTTTACAGTCGTTGATAGAGGGGAATCGTATACTACTGAAACGTTGAGGGCATCCTGCATTCGTCGTTGCTCTGCTTTTTCCAAGCTCAAGAATTTATCCGCTATGATCTTTGAAGCATTTTTATCCAAGGCAATGTTCCTCAACCACGATGGCAGGGCGTTGATCGTATCTTTCCCCATATTCTGCGGCAGTGTTATTGGGATTTCGCCAACACCGCCAATCAGGTCCATATTTTGCCGGATGTTTGAGAAAAACGGGTTCGCGACAGTTTTTTGAGATGTCGGCATAGGACAATATAATGGACCAACACCCTTCTGGGCGCCAGGAAACTTGCCGGTCAACGATAGACTTTTTGGTGAAGTTGCGCCTACAAGTTGTGATTTGTCGATTTTTTCGGGATGCTTCATAGAGAATTCGTTGAATCCACCTAAAGAAGTTAGATGTTTGTACTTCCTGTTTCGACTGTCCACAAACCTTTCAGAATATAAGCCTGGCCCTTCCAACCCTCCCTTACAAATTTACTTAGCGTATGTAAAGGTGCAGATGCCGCAGCATCCTTATCATTCTGAGATTCACTGTCGTATACAACAATGTATTTCATATCTTTCCATCTTGCAAATCTTTCTTTATCCTCTTCTTTTGCAAAGGTCTCTGACAACTTAGTGACGTTGAAAGATGGTCGTTTCAACAATGTCGTAGGAATGCAGAGATTCACGGCCTTTGTGATTCGTGATTGCGCAAAAACCTTATATGTTCGAACGTCCAACAATAACAAGCTTGAAGTTTTCCCCTCTAGTAGATCTGAAAGTGTTGAGGCTGACACAAATACAGGCTGTCCCTCTTTGGAAGGGTTTGGTAATGTTGCTGACCGTCCGTGACTCTTCTTCCGCTGCAAGGCAATGTTGGGGAGTGTCAATGTCAGGTTGGGAGGTTGGGGGCTTGAAGGCGCCGATAAACGGGAAAGATTACTATCACTTGGCCGTGTAAAGGCACTCAAACCTCTCTCAAATGAAACTGGAGATGCCATATAGGTTCCATTAAAGATGCTTGGTCTTGTTGATGAGTTGGCATTATGACCCATTGCACCTAAAGAGCTTAATGGGTCTTTGTTGACACTGTTGACATCGGGGGTAGGGGGGACATTAAGAGGGTTGACATAAGACCCAGGTGCTAGAGGTGAAAAACTACTCCTATCGTCGAAATGTTCACTGGAGGCATAGTCGGCATCGTTGACACTGTTTGTTCGATTGAGTTGGAGGCTCATAGCTATCGCCTCTGACTGCTTTTGGAATAACGTGGAGACATTGTCAAGATGGACTGGACGAGGTGATCGCGCTGCTGTCGACCTAACTGATGAGCCAGAGGACGACCAATTATTCGTTGCATTGGGTTGGTTGTCGGCGGAATCTATCACCAGTCCGAAATATCCACCACCTCCACCTGAACTTGGAGTGTTGTGGTTCTGTGCCTTGGTAAGTTTTGGTCCGGTACCTGAAGGGGGTGCGGGGGGGTGTACTGATGCTGGAACTGGTACTGTCGCGGGATGCGATGTTGGTTGTACAGGAGCAGGGTGCTGTGGACGAATGTGAGATTGGGCGCTATTGGTATTATTGATGGAAAACTCGAGTGACGAACGTGGTGACGGCCGAGAAGTGGTGACAGACATTTGCGGAATGTTTGGTTGCCCAATATCCGTTTCAATCTTTTTGTGATCCAGTTGGACGAATTTACTTTTAAATTATGGGAAGGATTGAATATAATTGCGGTGAGATACTTGCAAAAGATATTTGCAAGAGAGGGGGGGGGGGGGGGGGAGTTGCCTTCCTTTTAGGGAGGATGCCGGGGGAGAGGGAGATATGACGACAGATGGCGGCGAAGGCGGGCAGGGCAGGGTAGGATGACGGCGGAAGGCAGGACGTGCGTTAGGTAGTGTCAGAGAACCCTTAAGTTGTGCCTAATGCTCATGATCACGGGATATCACAGGGAATTTGGAATGGGAAGAGGAAGGGAAAAAAATTCCTTCGAGGTTGGGAAGATCGCGGGAAAGTGGCGTTTGGGATCCGGTTTTTCTGACCGGCTTCCAGAAAATTGATTATGCGGCGCAACAATCTCAGGAACAATTGTTTCCCTTACTTCCAAATTTCCTTTTCCCGTCCTTTTCGATCTCGTTCGTATGATACCCCTTCGAGCTTCCTCTTTGTCCTTTCACGTCGATGGATTGCCAGATAATCGTGATATTGATGGATTTGGTTTGCCTTGATAATCCCCCCAAACGTCACCAATATATTAATCAATTGCGTGACGTCGTCGTCGCCCAATCCCTTCCCGTTCTCCTTATTATTTCCTTCTCTTTATTCTTTCTCAGTACTCTAGAAGGTATGCACCGGTTGGATTGTGAACGACAGCAGAGGAACAATGGCAATGGCGGGAAGTCAAGGATAGGTAAACAGAGGCCTTCTTATGAGATACCTAGATATAGGTACAGGCGACGGATAAGGCCCACGTAGTGGATATGAGGGGTGAATAAGGAGGGGGAGGGGAAGGGAGGGGTGAAGTGAGGCGGCCGAGAAAAGGGTCCTATTTCAACTATTTCAACAACAGGCGGGCAGAAAGGGGATTTTGAGGGCTCTAAGCTAGGTTGATCAATCACTGGCACCCTCAGTGAAGAGGGGATCAAGTACAGGGCAAGTCAAGCAGGGCCTAGATCGTTTCCCTTTTGTTCCTTTATCCCTGGCCCTGTCCTGTACGAGTATCTTGGTGGAGTTTTCTTTTTTTTTTTTTACCAATATTTATTCTTGTGGTGGTGTGGAGCGGGGGATTACCGCCGTGGAGGAGGCGGAGGAGGAGTGGATGGATGCAGGGAGCCAAGCAAGTACATCATGGTAGAGTAGCCAAGCAGGGCAGCATGGGAGTGGTGCTTCTCAACCACCTCGTTCCCAGTAAATTGCCACTTCCTTAAACTGACTGTGTAGGAATAGGAAGGGGACAACTACTTACTCTACAAAGTATTCACACTTGCACGTCGAGACATTGCACATCTGTACTTTCCCCGTCCTCTGTCCGTTGATATTCCCCCCTTCCTATTCCTCCTTGCAAGCATGTAAAAAGCTCAGGATACACATGGTACGCTAGAGCATAAGCAGGTAGAGTAGAGAGCAGACATTACCTTACTCCAGGAACGTGCATACTCGTACTATTTAGGAGGTGACGCCTGTGCTCAAGTTGTAATTGCTTATATGCTGTATGTTGTGCTCTATGCTCTACCTGCAAGCATTAATATGTTGCACATATCTGCCCAAGAGCAGTACTCGATACTTCTAGTCTCCAAAGCAACACCTCTTCTCTACAACTCCCACTGCTTCAGAGCGCTCTAGAGTAGGTACTTACTTTACAGTCTACCTCGAGCTCTCTATAGCCCTATATCTGATCCTACCTATGATATCTCTAGAGTACATACATCCGTCCACCCATACGGCTCTCCTGTCGTTCTTGGCAAACGCGCCCGCAAGCCATGCCTGAAAAAAATGTCCGCTGTGCCCATGTCGCGTGGCTGTTGCTGGTCGGTGAGAGCTAAAACAGTCCACCGATGACGCTATTCGGGTCTCAGTCGCTCAGTCGGATCAAAGTTATCGTAAAAGTAAGACCTATAAACCCCCTAAACCCCAGGTTCATCGTCATCGTGTTACAAGTCAATCTTAAACGCAAATAGGTACAATGCCTAGAATCAGGAAACGGCCAGAACACCTGCCTAAGTGTAGTCTGTAGAAGCAGCCTGCGCAATTCGAAATTATCATTAACTCCCCCTTTCGGTATCGAAATAGAAACATGACTCTGGCAGACGTGTCTCGAAATAAGGCGACCAAAAAGAGAGAACAAGTCTTTCCCCTTTTTAGGCCTGGGCCATTTTTTGCAAGGTTTCCGAGAAACCCTCCCAAAGTCCAGGCCAACGGGATCGTCACCGCGACCACGCATTTACGGCAAAAAGCAAAAAAAAAAAAAAAAAAAAAAAAAAAGCTCTGCTTGGCTTGGCCTAACCGAAGATCCAAGCCAGCAAGCAAGCAGAAAGGGTTCCAATGGTTGAATTAACATCCGCCAAGACACATAACATGCCAGTTCAACTACCAGAGGTAATGATCATAATTTTGTTGATCTCCCAGACTAAGCAATGGGCATCATGGCATTGTCAGCTTCTCGACGAAGAGCATAGTGCAAAACCAGCACTGCGTCAATAGATAGGCACGTCCCTTATGATCATCGTTCCTGGAAACCTTGCATGCTGACATATCATTCAAGGGATTAAAAAAAGCAAACAAGTTTCTTAATTCTGCTATCGTCATTCACAAGAACAGCACCATACCAAATACAGTTGCATAGTAAGCCAAAGGGCACCTTGATCCCGATATTGATAAATACAAAATTCTGATGATTCGTAATTACAAAACTGCTTGATTACAGGAAGCGAGATGTACAAGGAGCAAAAACAAATCTTAGTCTACTATGTACTGGAATATGTAGAGTACCTGTAACTCGAGTACAATACACATACATATATTTCCAGGCGAATCCCAACACCATATACAACCACAATGATGGAATCTGAAACTGGCTGCCGCGACGTCAAACAATCATGACTGGAACCTAGCTCCACAGATCTCCCCGCCTTGCCCGTACCTGGCTTCCGGTTGCCAGAGTCAAACAATCAAAGCCTTGAAAGCTGGAAAAAGAGAATCATATTCCGTTACGTTTGTATACTACCGCCCCCGCCCCCCCCCCTTTTTTTCCTTTTCTTCATATGAGTCATGGAAAGTAAAAAATACACTACTTAAACCAAGAAATGGGGGTTTTGTCAATGATCAATAAGACACATAAAATCAAATATCAATTTGGACTGCGATCTATAGATGGCTTTAGCTGAATAGGGAATCGGATTACTTGTCTGGATAGAAAGTCCCTTCATCAAGGGCCTAAAAACAAAATCTCAAAAACGAAAGAAAAAAAGTGAATGCAGTAGCATGTTTAACTCCCTGGCCAACACTTATAATTACCTATCAAAACCTCTCCCCCTACTAGGGCTTGGATAGGTAATTTAAAGTCTACCAGTGGGTACTTCCATGGGAATGGTACCACTATAGTTACATACACTGAATCTCGGCCAATTAAAAGGATACACGGAATCATGGAATCATGAATTGTCACTCGGTACAGTCGAGATGATGAAAGATTATTTGGTACAGTCTGCATAAATCAAGTGGTGTCGAAAGATCTTTTGGAATTTAATATTTAAACACCAGAGACTTCCGGTATCACATGCACCTTGAAACTGGAGACTATGAAAGCTCTAGGGTTCTACTCTTCGTTTTGCGGCGTTATCGCTAGCGGATACCCCGCTCGCTATTCCAACGTGCAGCGCATGATGATGGGGATTATTTTCGGTATTTCCACTGGTTCAGTCCTCCTCCCGCGCAGTAAGTGTAAGAAGAGGAAAGCTTGTTCTTTCTATAAAAAGAATATTATGTCCGATCATTAGCACCCAGAGTAGAATGGTGCTCACTTACCAATATAACACAACTTGGTTTGCATATCACCAAAATAAGTTGTCTCATGCAAGATTTGGCCTGAATGCAGACCCAGCTGTGTTCGGGAACGTCACGAGTAACGGGTGTAGGTATGCTTCCTGCAGTTCTAGGCGATACAGGGCATCAAGGGTATCATCGGATTCTCATCATTTATCAAGGTATCAAAGGTCTGGCAGTCATAAGAGGCACGCAACCCTCCTTCACAATGGCTGGAGCGTTTGCAAACAACACACGGACTTGAAAACGTGGAATCTCTCCACAACCGTTTGACGCTTGGGTCAGTTGGTCGTATACAACCTACAAGGCTAATGGTTTTGCAACACAATGACCATTGCAAGATTCTTTGAGGCCGCGTTCAGAGGATGCTTCTGTCCGTATCTCAGAACCACATTCTAGGTACTCTACGTACATACCTACGTCTTTGGTACACAAATATATGCAGGCACCGAGATATTACAGGGCATGTCCATGATAAAATGGAGGGGAAGGTATCCTGGTCTTGAGCGCAAAAGTCTTGCGCGTGACAGTTCGAAGATCAGGGTCTGAACGGGCTCGCTAGCCAGGTGAAATGCGGCACGAGGATTCTAATACATATGCGGGGAAGTGAAGCTTGGGTAAAGGGAAGGACCTGGGAAGGAAGGAAGGGGCTTGCAAAGGAAGGGAAGGGCTTGGGAAGGAAGGAGAGGCCGGAAGGAAGGGCTGAACATACCAAGCGCCGACCGCGACTCCCGCGCGGTGACGCGATATGAAACTACTCTCTATGTAGCTGACTGCGGTGCGGGAAGAAAAGAAAAAGAAGGTTTTTTTGTTTTTTGTTTTTTTGTTTCTGAGGGCAGCAGCTAGCGGGCCCAAATGATATTTATCTGCAAGCCCGTCGGAAAGTTCATCCGGAGGGGATTTTATTTCGATTTTCTGCATGATGGTATTATTTTTTCCTGGCCGTTCAAATCGGCTGTTGGGTACTGCTTAGTTGCGGGTTCCTTCTCTCGCTCTTGCCCTGCGGACCGTGCCGGATAGAAGTGGACAGCTATGTCCCGCGTGCGGGGGGTTACGGGTACCAACCGGTGTCTGATATTGGTGGTCTGGACAACTGGCATTACATGACGACGACAGCAACTAATAATAATACAGCGACGCAAAAGAAATTAAAGAACCGCCCTACCTACGCCTCCGCTCAATTAATGCTTTATCCTGCCGAAAACTAGCTTCTCTCTCCACCTATCGTTTTTTTGAATTTACATTGCGATTATTAAAAGCTGGAAACACCCCCCCTCCGACAATGCTTGATCACAGTCATGGCGAAAACCAGTGCAGTGCGCGCCCCACCGCCCATGTTTGATGAAATTGCAATTATCAAAGGGCCAGAACAACGAGAAAAAGGCAATATGTGAATGCGCGCACACAATTCCATGTGTCTACTACATATTAAAGGCAAATAAGGGCAGCCAAATAAGTAAGTACATACATGTAAGTGTATAGTTTGCATCGAGGCTACCCAAGTACCACTATATACACGTGGAGATTGTTTGCATAGCTACAGCAACTACAGCTAGAGACAGACGTATAGATTGTCCTACCAGCCTACCATGGTAACAACCATGAGCCAGTCGACCAGCACCTGTCGTTGCACTGCCTAAGAAACAAAAACAAAAAAGCCCCCAAACGAAACGTGTATCCAGAGGATTAAACGGCCACCGTTCTTTTTCAAACAACAGCAAACGACAACGGCAAAAGATTTGCAAACAGCACTTCACTCAGTTTCGATCTTTCTTATCGGCATCGGCGCGTCCTCTGTACAGCAAAGGGACGCCTTGATGCGCACCTGAGATGCGATAACTGATAGCTCTAACCAGCGTTGGCTTCGCAGACTATAAAACTAAGCGTAGAATAAAATAGGAGGGATCCCGTTGTTGATTCTAAAGCCATTCATTACTAGCTGTGGAGTTGGGGTCAAAGACGAAGAAAGAACGCTTCATATAAAAACGCCCCTCAAATATATTTTCTAAAGCCCACAGAACAGATATGTCTTCCTCTGCTTCCTCCGCATCCCTCCAACTGATGCTTCTGAACATCCTCGTCCTCTCCTACATTTCTACCTACTGTGCCGACTCGATACTAGCCAGGATAGTCAATGGGTGGATCCTCCTCTCCAGCATTTTGGCCTTTCTGGTGTCGTACCCGTCGTATTTTTCCCCGAGCACTTGCTTTAGGGGTCTTACTACTGGATTATGAGGAATGTTAGTAGGTTTGTAGGGATATATTTGATATGATATAGACGCTGTGGCTAATAAGGGAAGAAGACAGCGCCTTGGATTGTAAATATGGTATTTTGCTGGTAAACAAGACGACACATATACGAGTGAGGAACACCGCCTTTTTGGCTGGGGCTTCTCTGCTTAGCGCTCAAGATGAGATTCTTGATGATACAGAACGGATTTGGTTTTGCTCTGAGCTGAGTCTAAAATCCGAGTGACTGCCCGTGAGTCTGGCTGGCTGGCCGGCTAGAATCCTGGGTTGCCGGTTTGGGGTTATAATTGTAGATGGATAGATAGATAAGAGCGTTATAGGTGTTCTTTTCTCTCTTTTTTGGCGGAATCCTGCATGCTGTACAATACGATGTAATAATATTACGGGTGTGCTATTATGCTATCTTCGATGTGATCGTAGAATAATATTGTTCGGGTCATATCTAGTCATGTGCCATCTTCTCAGCTCTTGTCTCCAATTGGTGGGTAAGGTAATCGATCAAGACTTTGGTTGGTAGAACCGGCTAATAATTGTACGTGTACATACATGTAGATATCGATGTATTTAGTGATAGATCAGTAGATAAGAGTATGTTTCCCGTCTTTCTCTTAGTAGAATCCTTTGTGGTATACGTATACCCTTAGCATAAAGCCGAAGGTCTAATAATCATAGCAGGGCGAGATATATCTCGTTATCCTGGCTGTAGAGAAATGGTACAGTAATCAACATATGGGCATCCAGAATATGGCATATTTAAATACCATGCCATAGTCAAATCGCGTAGGAGTACTGCACTCCGCCATGTGCTGCACTGCGGTGTAGATCTTTGACCGTTTAGCTGTGAGTGGCAAATATAAAGGTAGGAAATCGATCAAGAAGCAAGCGCTTGTTGCTGGCTGGGTAATTGAACCCGCAGGTTCGGAATTGTAGGTGTGATAATAGGATTTCTCCCGGTTTCCTTGGTCCGCTTGCTTACCTGCTTGCTCGAATCCTGTTCGCGCTGTACATGTACTCGCGATAGGCATGAAGAACCACTTTGACCCCTGCTAGCGCGTTTTTATGTTCAGGTTCTTGTTACCTGCCCCGAGTAGATATCCTGATTGCGGAGAAATAATAGTATAGAGAGTAGGTATCCAGATTATGTACCTGTGTTGATCAAAAAAGTACGTATGTACGTTGGCTGCGCTCAACCAACCGTCTACATAGCAGCATCTCGATGAATGGTGAACCTGCAACACGCTCGATACTCGGGTCAACGCCCATGGGGGGATTGATCGGACTTAAGGGAATGTACGCACGCAAGCAGCTAGGGTCGATTAAATCGAGGATCTACACGGCGGCATATGCACGTAAATAGCTGGTAGTTATTGTTTAAGGAATACGGAAACGTACCTCAATTTCAGTATGATTGAGCACAAGAATAAATAATAATCAATGGCTTGGATAGAAGTGATTGATAAATATTTATTTCTGAGGAAATCATAATAACCACGTAAGGAGGCGCGGGGCGTCGAAAGCGCTGGCTGATAAGGCGGTCAAAAACCACAGGTTAGTATCAAATATTTTTGGTCAGGGATCTTACAATCTATGTTACACCCCCCTCTATAGAGAGTACTAGGAATCAGGAGAGAAGTCTAGAAGTTAACTAGAAGGATCGATGATCGGAGTTTTATATATTTTTCATTTATTATACGGATTCCATCTGGCTAAGCCTACAGGTATCATCCCATCTCGACCCGTAGTTATATTAAAAGAGTTTTCGGGGGTGACCTTCCCTCTCGCCTGCCCGAGTGATAGGTAATCCGGTTGCAATCACGATCAATCGTGCTTGGTTTAGGTCTCAACCCAGAGGAGAGTAGAGCACGAGAACCAGCGGGAGAATCATTTATTCGGTTAAATTTCCCCAAACTAAACCGAACCCTGAGCTTAGAGTGCATATGTGCCTTTGGTTAATTTCTACCCAGCGGTCTGGAATCACTAGGATGGGTGGGTACTGGACCGGTTTCGGTAGATCTGACATGGCAGAGATTTCGGGGTTCCGGGCTCGGCATTTGAAGATGTATATGTATCATGCTTACTCTGAGTGCATTTCAACGATTAGAATGTTGGTAACTGGTCCGCATGTCAACTGCACCGTTTGTGTTAATGCAAACACATGAATAAAACCGTTTAGTAGGCATATGTGTACGTAGTTGGGGGGAGATAGAGTTTGAAGAGTGACTTTGGATTGAGAATCATTTCTGTTGGCTCCATCATCAACGTCTAGCTTGAATTCCGATCTACCTCCTCCGGCTTCCTAAAGTTGTTCTCTCGTGGTTAAACTCTTCTTCGTCGGTGTACCCCTAACCCCATTTAGTGAGATGGTCCTTTGTAAATATGCTGCTGGTATTGGAAACACTCAATCTCAGTCACCAAGTCGGTCCGTGTACGTCTTTGACCTTTGGATTCACACAAAGGTTTCAAGGTCAGCAAGGTCGAGACGTGCCCAATGGGACCGGATGTTTATTCCAGTGATTTTCTGAGGATTAGAACTCTAGGCCTTTGTAGAAAGGTAAATCAATGCCACCTCACATTACATCGTCTGTGACGTCAATGCAGGGCCGGCAGAAGAAAAGTATGGACCCTTAACTAGATATAATCCTTATTCCAGAAAGAACCCTGCTGGGGAAAGAAAAAGGGTGAGTTTGAGAATGGTTAGCTCCCCCTATTTCTAGTTGTATAAAAGGATCTCCGCTATAATTACGAGGGATATATCATAGGGGCTAATGCAGTGGTAGCCGTGTATCCCTGCCGGGGACGCCGTGTCCAGGTAGAAGGCGAGAACCGACCAAGTCTCATATGGCGAACCTTCTTCTTTTCTTTTCCTTTGTACCGCTGCATCCCTCTGAATCACGAACAAGCTGGGGAACCCTTGTTACGCGGATGGAGTGTTTAAGGCGAGGTAAAAGAAGGAAAGAAGGAAAAGTTAACTGGAATGTATTGAGCTAACCATGGTAGGAGTTGGTATCGGATAAAACGTCGATTTGTTTGGCCAATTGGTCGGGTCGAGTGACATTTTATGAAAGAAAAAACGGTTACCGACCACGCGAAATTGACGGCGGGAGGAGAAGTGTGATCGTTTATATGCAAGCAGCCGGCTCATCGGATGAACGCAAGGCAACCAACAAGATGGAGCATCTAGTAAACCCGGGATAGGGATAAGTATCGGTACCTGTACGTGGTGGACCCTTACGTCTATCTTGGGGTACTCTACATATGCAGTATCAAGGTTAAGATTGCATCCAGAGATGCTAGTGTGATTAGTAGCACCATTGGTCAAGATGAGAAATATTGGTCGGTCAAGTTGGCGGCCAGTAGCTAATGATCATTGGTACCTCTTGGGAATTGTTGGGTGTATATACATGGTGCGAATACAGAAACAAATTCTTGCAGTTGGGAGTTAGGAAGTCATAACGGCAGTGCACTGAGCAATCGGCATATTGAATTCGCATATAGGTGTATGGTATATCACAACAACAATATATTATCACACTCTACAATCATCAACCACCTACAGCACCAATGCCGCCACACTTGTGAAGCAGCCAAACGATGAATGGCTAGATTCAGGGCCGGCGGATCGGCGAATATTCCGCGAGCGTGGAAAACGTGGTTTGAGCCGCATTTTTCTTTTTTGGAAGAGGTTGCTAGTATTTCTTCTACCTAGGAAGCTAGTGCGAGCGGGTGGGAGATGTAGGGCATCAGACCACCTTCCTACTCTGCAACAACAAAGTATCCATCCCTCACCCAAAAGCCCCTGGGGCTTGCATGTTTGGGCGCTCCGAGGACATTGCCACTGCTTCCCGGGTTGGGGAACTCGGAGTAACACGCGTGTGGTGTATGGGGAGTCGAGGGTGGGAGTACATACAGTACCTACATGCCATACGGGGGGTGTCTGGAAGGCAATAAGCGGTGGGAGTGATTTTTTCACCCTCTTTTCTAGAGTGCTCAAAGAATTATGCGATGTCACGTTCGGGAACCCTAGCTCTGACCACTTTGTTTGTGCTTTCGCTCTCCCCCGCAGGTTGAGTGTGGCTGCCCTTCAGTTGAATGTGGTAACAGCTGCCGTTACTCTACTAAAGTTTTCGGAATTGCTTCCAGTTTGAGTCCGCGGGGATTATATCCGTTCTGCTGTGTTTCTGAACAAGTGCCTGGACTCTAAGGAAAGGAAGGGAAAAGGAAAAAAAAAAAAAAAAAAAGACGAACACCCCTGGTCGCTACCGATTGGCCAATCTCCCCTATGGGCATTGGCTTCTTCATCTTGAGTATGTATATATCGCACCGGCTTTCTGGACCTGCCATGATCCGTACCCGGGTTGGGATTTTTTTTGTTGTTGTGCTTTTATATATATAAGACCATATGGCACCACTTTTTTCCTCCTGGCTTATCCGTCTGTGATTGTTGCTGCTGCCTTTTCGTTTCGTTCCAGCCAGCTTGATCCTTTGATCTTGGATCTGCGCCGCTTTCATCCCCCCGCCTAAAGCTGGCCTGCAAGAGCTACAGCCATCTAATTGATATTATTCGATACCCCACGCACGTTACTTACCGTAATCATAATATCAGCTGCGATGTCTGCTACATCTGTTGATGTTGTAATTGTAGGGGCCGGTGTGTGATATTTTTCTCTTTTACTGTTCTTTCTGATATTTGTTTTGCACTTTCCCCTTGGCCTCGGCCTCATATTCTTTTTGCAACTTGCCCTCCTATAATCCGGGGGAAGGAGAAGAATGGAAATATTATTCTCTTTTTTATTTTCTCCATTGCATACGCAAGAAAGAACCGTGCTGAACAAAGATGCGGGCTCCCGTGGCCCAATCCCGGGCACAAAATAGGTCCCTTTGGAATCATTGCTGCAAAAACATATCTCGAACTCAACCCCACGGCTCTACTGACGATCCTCGAAACCGACACCTCTTTGGGAGGAGCATGGAGCAAGACCCGAATC